TCGTGTTGATATTCTCATGCTAGCTAATGTTGAAGCTATTAAAATTCATTACTAGGAAATGGTTATATATATGGTTTTTGTTTTAAATTCTTGACGGTTTACTATAGTAAAAGATGTTGCATATAAAACTTCTCGACAGTTTTTGAAAAAATATCAACAGGTAGTCAATTATCAAAACTTGAAATTTTGACAAGTTTTCTAAGGGTCATTTTGGCAATACACCTTGTTTTTGTCACCCGATTAGAGAATACACCTCATTGTTTAAAAATTTTGAGATTCCACCCGTTAAAAAAAACAGTCAACCAGATCTGACCTAGTCAATCTGTTGTAATGACACATTTACCCTTTTAATAAAAATTTTAGAAAACACCCCATCTTTCCTCTTATTTATTGAGCAAAACTTTTTATCAATCATCCCTCTTTATCAATCATCATCGCTTTTTATTTGGATCCAGAGCTTTCACGAAAGTATTCCAATAAAAAATTTGAGACAGGGAATAAAATTGCTTTTAAGGCTATAGATTGCCCAGCAAGTGTTTATACATCAGACTGCAATCTTCTTAATCAATCATGATCTCTATTCAATAAACTTGGTAACTTGATTTGGTAATTTAAATATACATTAGATAAATAAGGTGGGGTGCTTAGGGAAGAAGAAGAAAACATAATGATAAGGTGGGGTGCTTAGTAAAGAAGAAGAAGAAGAAACCTCATTAACCTCTCCAGCTCCCTCAAACAAAGGATGATTGAAATAAATAATAGGTACTAAAACCCGGTGCGGGTCATCATCTTTTTTACCCACATAAATAGCTAAATGCCCTTTTGGTACTTCAATTGGTTTTGGTTCAAATGGTTGTCGATCCATTCGACAATAATCTGAAGAAAATGAAGTAATTGATCTTGTTGAACAAGAAAAAGAAAGCTTCATTGCTCTACGTTTCAAAGATTGACCCCAATTGTAAATTTTCGTTATTGTCTTGGTTTTATAATCACGAGGAGAAGTAGTATCCAATATTTGGTACCCATTTGATCTTCTTTTAGATCTGAATACCCATTTGAACACTTTCACACACTTTCTCCCCAATTTAAAACCTCTGTTTCTTCTCCTCAATTTTTTTCTTTTTGTAAGAAAAGAGTTGAAGAAAACTAGTTATTACTGAAGAATAATAGAATGAAAAGAAGAAGTGGGGTTTAAAGATTTCAAAAGAAAGAGAAAGGCCAAGGATCAGCAACAGACATGGTGAGACGAAAGAGAGAAAAACAACTTTCAGATAGAGAAGATGGGATATTAGACATAACAATAGTAGAAGAAACCAAATGAACTGGAATATAAGAAAAACTTCATTACAGAATCTGAGCTATTTTCGATCAAATCAAAGTTGTATATAAAGTAGGTACTTCTTTCTTATCTACTGATTCTTTTTTTTTCTTGAATCCCAACTTGTTGTCTCCCTAATATTTTTTTTTTATGGAGAAATCAAATGAAAAGCAGAGCTGAGAAGGAGTTTTAAATGTTCATTGACACGCTAGAATTAGATCAGTAGTGCAATTGACTGCAGTTTGACTCGAGCGACCCATTTTGCTCTTTAAATGCACTTTAAATTGTTATTTCTAGGGTTTTAATTTTCCATCAAAACAGAGCTCAAGAATTTGTTTAGTGAAGAAGAAGGGTAAATGTGTATTTTATCCAGATTGACCAGGTCAAATCTGGTTGACTGTTTATTTTAACAATCAAAATCTGTTATGGGGGTGGAAAATCAAAATTTTTAAGCAATGGGGTGTATTATCTAATCGGGTGACAAAAACGGGGTGTATTCTCTAGTCGTACCTGTGGCGTTGCCACGATGAATTTTATATCATATATTGTTCGTATAAATAAT